TTGCAACGAGGTCAGTTAATCTTCAGTCCCCCAATGATATGTAAATTTCCCGCAATTGGCTTTAACTGGCTATGGCGCGTTCGATATGTAGATTTCGTTTAACCTCTTGGAACATGAATTATGTTCCAACGATAAGAGCGCCTGCCGGTTTGATACTCCACGAAGATTATATAAAGGCGATAGGGCCGCAAGTTTGTTGACTTATGTACAATCGCAAGCGTCAGCTTTTGTACTAATTTAATGACATAATTCTATATAAATTAATAAAATTTTCTTCTGGAAAATAATCACTGTCAAAATAATTTATATATACAATATTGACTTTGCTACTCATGTGTATAATAAAATTTATATTAAATTTAAAAGAGAGGGGAAGAGAGAATAAATTTCTAATTCTATAATATTACTAATTGCGAGAAGAAAAAGGTGATAGGGCCGCAAGTTTGTTGACTTATGTACAATCGCAAACGTCAGCTTTTGTATTAATTTAATGACATAATTCTGTATAAATTAATAAAATTTCTTCTGGAAAATAATTACTGTCAAAAATAATTTATATATTATAATACTAACTTTCCTACTCATGTGTATAATAAAAGTTATTTTAAATTTGAAAGAGAGGAAGAGAGAATAAATTTCTAATTCTATAATATACTAATTGCGAGAAGAAAAATGCGATAGGGCCGCAAGTTGTTGACTTATGTACAATCGCAAACGTCAGCTTTTGTATTAATTTAATGACATAATTCTATAAATTAATAAATTTTCTTCTGGAAAATAATTACTGTCAAAAATAATTTATATATTATAATACTGACTTTCCTACTCATGTGTATAATAAAAGTTTATTTTAAATTTAAAAGAAAGGAAGAGAGAATAAATTTCTAATTCTATAATATACTAATTGCGAGAAGAAAACATATTCAACACACCAATTCAATTCTAATTTATTATTGCGTATTTATTACTATGTACTTATCATTTATGTTTATGTCATCATTCGCATTTGTTTTACGGAGAACGCGACGCGAAACATTTGTCGACATTGCCCGCCGTTACGCGAAACAAATAGGATAAAATATATCGCTCGCGGGGCAAATTATAAATCGCGCAATCTCACGTGTGTCGCAATCGAGCACACTTAGCCGCGCATACATCAACGTCAGTTAAACGAAGGCGGGGGAGGCCTCCCCGAATCCGCGAGGGGTGACAAGTTCGGTTTCAACCACGTGCTATAATTTGTGACTGATAATGTCACTCCTCCCCAGTGGAATCAACTTGTTTAACCCGTCCCAGTCCCTCGACTGGATCATCCATACTAGAATTATGGTGCTGTATACTACGCCATAAACCTATTCCGCGAGAGAGCTCGCAAAGATTACTACGCATTCTCGTTAATGCGAAGTGAGCGCGGTGAAGTTTCACCCAAGAGGTCTTGCCAACAGATACGTACCATCTGGAACGTGCTTTCTCTCTCACAATGAAATATCTTTCTTTATATTCCGAATCTTCAACTTTATTATTCTTTTATCGTAATCTTTCTTGGACGAATTTTCAAATTACATCTTTGAAAATTTTTCCATTCATCTTCAAAGATTATAAAAATCGATGAAAAAATTCCGAGGATAAAATCTTTGGACACAAAGACAAATGTTAATCACGATATGAAGAGATTTATATATTTTTTAGAAACCTTTTATCTCGAGGTATATTATTGGATTAGTTCTTTTTATCTCATATTTGGGTAGAGAAATATATTATTATTTCTTACACAGAGGTATTCGCGTTCCGCGGTACATGAAATTTGTATACAGCGACATGTTTCGCGAGCAGATCACTAGGTAATTAGCAGCTGGGTTAATTCGTGTCGCAGTGCCTGTGCGCGTATTGAGGAATTAGCTTAAAGGGTAGACCACGAATAATTGTTAGTTGAATTACAGTGCTATTCTACTCAACAAACTTTCTGAGGTCGGACACCCCAACTTTGGAAAGCTTTGGTTTCGACGATGAATGCATCGTGTTTCTCGTCAAATGGAATAGTTGAATGAATGTTTTATTCCTCGGTTAATGCAAGTGTATAAATACATATAGAATATGAAACACAAGAATTCAGCGGTAATGTAATTATGAATGAAAGCTCGCGCGCACGTGACAAGAACTCTTGAAACTCTGGAAAGTTACTCTTAGAAAATAATACTCTCGATAATTAAGGGGGGAACCTCATGTAAAATGAAATTTTTTAGCCATTTTATTTTTTTGCTTAAATTGATAGGAAATTTCTTCAAAAATACGAGAAAAAAAGTTAGAAAGTGATCCGAGAGCTCCTTGTACTTTATTTTCAAAAGAAAGTAAACAGTCGAATTGGGCGGAGCACTCAAATAGTCGAGCGCTCGTCGGACAATCGGCCTTTCGGTTCCTTTGTGGATATTTCTGTGTGCAAAACATGTAGTTCGAAGTCAGTCTGAAGAAGAGGAAGGTCTACTCTATGGCCCTGGAATCGCAGATTAGCAAAAAACTGCGGTAATTAGAACGAATTACGAATTTTTTCACGATTTTTCTATTACTCAAACTTTAAACGCGTTTTTCTCGAAACGCAAAATTTCGCACGCCGTGCAACGTAGCTCAAAACTAATCATTCGATCTTTATGAAATTTGGTATAGAAATTCTATAGATATTTGGCCTCAGCATGACGAGCTCCGATTTTTAATTTTTTTATTTAAAACTTTGTTATTAACAATTGTTTATAAAAGAAAATCCTTTTTTTTTTCAAAACTTCGCCATTTTTGCAAATTTGCAAATTTTAATAAAAGGGGACCGTCATGCTGAGCGTTTTTGCATAAACTAAAAAACCCATTTTGTATTTTTTGTTTCAGATCATTTTTGTGACCTGCATGCTGCACGGCGCATTTTCAAGACGCTGTTTTCAAGCCGCCATTGCACCGTTTTATTGTTAACGATTAATCTTAAAAAAATATTTTCTTTAAATATTATAACGTAAATAAATTGTGCCTTAAATTGCAAATTAATCTACGCATTACATTTTTCAAAAAAAATTCCTGAAAAACAGGCTATTTACATGAGGTTCCCCCCTTAAAGTGCAAATTTGGGCCGCATTGCAGTAATTAGATTGCTGCAGAACGACTGTTATTTACAAGAATTATTATTATATACATTTAAAATAAATAAATAAATTTGGAATAAATTTCTAGACAGACATATTTTTTATCGTTGGCTTCATAAGCAAAAGAATATGGAATATTTTCATTAAATACTTTCAATCTATTTTAGTTGATTTAGTTTTATTTTTCGATTATTATACATATAATAATAATTGAACAAGTATAACGCGTGCTATAGAAAAGAGAGATCATTCTATTCGATAGAAATTTCAGGCTAAACGATTACGCGTCTTGTAACCATCCGCCATTATGGAAGATGATACATTCTAAGCGAAGGGAGAAGATATTGGCTATTATTAAAAAAAACTGAAAAAACTGTTTAATATAGGGGCGCATATTGAAGCCAAGGCATCTCTTCTCTCGAAGGCCGGAGATTTGAAATTTCGGAAATCTTAAGATAAAGCTCAAACAAATCGGAGGAGTATTCATAGGTAATTGGCAGCTTCGTCAATTGCCATTAGTACGAGTGGTTATATGTTTGGAGGAGTTAGGTGCACGAGGGATGATTGGAGCACATGTCCGTCCGACAGGAATATTACCATAACGACGACAATCGTCTCTAGCGAAGCAATTACCGCGCGCAAGTTATGGCCGCGTGATACGGTGGATGTACACGTGAGGTCGGACGGCCCGCACCTACTGGAGGTTATTGATCATCGATCGGGAGGTCAGCACGGGCGGGTGGCACGGCCGAATATCCGCAAGAACATCCTACACTACAGAAGGTTTATTACCCGAGGCGTTCGTTACGAAAATTAGATTGTACGTGTACGATCGAGGAGATAATCCAACGTCGTCTATTGATCGACCTTTATTCTCCGGGCTGGAGAGAGGGCCCTTCGATTAAATTGATAAAATTAAACTACGATCATCGCTGAAGACGACCACGAAAATTGTTTTAACTCGCGGAAGACCAAAAAACGCTGCCATCTATTTTTTTCCCGACTGCTGCCAACCTACGGTTGGCAAAAAGACGGAGGGAGTATGCGTTTCACCGAGCTCGGATAAATTGTAACGGGTATTCTCGATAACTATTAGGTAGTTCGATATCATCTTTTACGCATCAATTTCTTATTAAGCAAGGAAGGTTTCAAGCATATAATTATCATTATTGTCTCCAAAGTTTAATTCGCGTGAGAAATTCTTCCAAGATCATTTCTCGATTTTCCTCGAATTTTCGTTAAAGAAAGTTTTGTATGTACAATCCCATCAAAAAGTAGTTAAATATTGACGAATATATCCACTTTTGGTTTATTTTGAGTATGAGAAATTGTGTGGAATAAATTTTTTATTTTCAATTAATGTTCCCCGGGGGGACAGGCCCCCCCGGGGTGCTGATATGCAGTCAGCGACACTTACGCCGCGCGCAACCTTTAATAATTTATGGGCGGGGGACAATCGCCCCCCCCGCCGGTGGGCCGAGCAACACGCGCGCGGGGGGAGGAAAAACTTCCCCCCTATCATGAACATTTTGATAGTTCCATTGCCCCGGTTGGTTGGCCGGGGCAATTCACATCAATTACCATTGCTCACGCCCCCGGGCCGAACGCACGCGGAAAGAGTCATGAGATTAAAAAGGACCCGGGGGCGAGCACGCGGCAAAGAAAAAGAAAATAATAAAAATAAGAATAAGAATTTTTTCGCGGCATTCACACTCGTATAAAATACAATAATGTTTTCGCGGCATTCACACTCGCTAACAAAGAGGCCCACACAACATGCAATAAACATTTTAAAATATAACAATATATAAAGAAGATAGTACAAAAAAGATTAAAACCGTGGGCAAGACAACAACTAACTAATAAATTACGCGGCATTCACACACAACAACATACAACAGGGACTAGACAAATCATCACAGGACAACTAGCGCCGCTCCTGCTCGGCGGGCCCGCGCCGGCGAAACGCGCGGGGGGGCGTAGCGGGCACCCCACCAGCAGAGGGGCGTGAAGGTGCGGCGTACTGGCGAACGCCAGACACGTGCTCCAGATATCGTAGATATCCCTGGACCAGCGGATGGAATCCGAGACAACGAGACGGCGCAACAAAGAGGCATATGCACTGCCAATGTGCAACACCCGAAGCACCGCCTCGTTGGCCGGATCCCACGAGCCCAAGGAACCGACGACGAAGGCCGTCACGACAACGCGGTACCCTTCGCGCTGGAGCGCCTCCGCTAGGGACGAGTATTTGGCAACTTTCCTCGCCCTAGCCTCCTCGAACGACTCCCAGCGGTTTTCAAAGGGCACCGCGACGTCGCATATGACGACACACTTGGAGGGCTCGTGCCTGACCACAAGGTCAGGTCGCAGCCCCCCAGGTTCCCCGTCAATTCCCTCAACTCGCCGATTCACCCGCTTATCTCCCGGCATCCGGCAAGCCTTCCAGAGGTGGTGCAATGCGGCGTCGTGCCTCAGCTGTATGGCGGCAGAATGGACCCCACAATGGTTTAAAACATGGGGAAGGGTCTCGGCTGCCAACCCGCAACGCCGACACCTTCGGTCTGCCTCCCCCCAACGGCGTGCACCGTTGAGTGGGAGAACATCCAATTTGGCCCGGTGTATGAATCGCCAGTCGGCGAAGCGGGTGAAGCTGCCGCCGCGGACAAAGTGATTGCTCACCCCAGCCCGCGACGACACCTCGAACACCTTCCCCTGGTCCGGTTTGGATATTAGCGAATTGAAATAATAGGCCGCCACCGCCGAGCGCAGACGGGTCACCACCTGGTTGCGAGCACCAGGTGGGACTTTTACCGCGTCGCCCCTGGGACCCCGGCACTCGACCATCAGCTCCTCGGTCGCTTCACACCACCGCCACCGAAGGAGCAACCTTTCGGACTGCCTCCTCGCGGCATTCCTCGCCCTCGACCACAGGGAGGATTCACCCCGCCTCGCAGCCTCCCCTCGAGTGAACCCGAGAGGAAAGCCGCGACGTCCTCGTTGGTCGGAGGACCGCCAATGCGCCTGGCTACAACTCCCCGCAGAGACGCCCACGCGAGACTCCTGACCGCGTCGCAGCCAGCCGTAAGCATACGGAAGGCATGCGACACGGACAGGATATCCGCAAGGTCAGCTAGCGGAAGCAGTCCACAACCCCCGACTCTCGGGGGGAGGTAGACAACCTCCGCGCTGGCTCTCTGCGGGAGGTTGAGCCAGGACTTGGCCATCCGCCGGACCTGCAGGTCGGCGGCCTTCAGGGGTTTTTTCTCCACTGTGGCGCCCCGCAGCAGAAAATCCAACCGTGGCAAGATGTTGGTGGCCACTAACTCCAGCTTCTGCCACGGAGCGAGGAGAGATTGGTCCACCGCTCGGAGATCCTCGAGGAGGCCCCCAATTGTGGCAAATGGTGTTTGGTCGACCGAGGACCCGGTCGGGACACCAAGATGTCTATAAGGCTCACCAGATGCAAGGCGATGAACGGGCTGTCCCTGGATGACGAACGTCGTCGGCAGGACCCTGTCGCCCGAGCCCGCGGCGAGATGCAGGGTGGCACATTTGGCAGGGTTGAACCGCAACCCCACCGACGACGCCGCGCCCTCCGCGACGGCCAAAAGCCGCCGCATTCCCTCAGGCGTATCTGCGACGAGTGCAATGTCGTCCGCGTACGCCACAATACTGTGACGAGAGCCCAACAGATCGAACCCCGCATCGACCGCGGTAACTGCACGCAGTACCGAGTCGATAGCAAGGTCAAATACAATCGGGCTCAGCGGACAACCCTGCCGCACACCCGAGCGAATAGGGACAGGAGTGGTGTAGCCCTCAGCGGTTCGGACCCGCGTGGAGCACCCGTCATACATGGAATTCCATATATTGACGAGACCCCCCGGCACGCCGGAGCGAACGAGAGCGCGGCGGATCGCCGCGTGCGGGACCGAACCAAACGCATTGGATAGGTCCAGCCACGCGACGACCGCCTGCCGTCGAGTCCGCCGGGCATCAGTCAGGATTTCCTGAAGAACGAAGTTGTATTCAAAACACCCCTCGTCCCGCAGGAATCTCTTCTGAGCCGGACAGAGCTTGTTGTTAGCGACCGCCCACTCGGTCATACGATCGGCGATGAGCGCGGCAAAAAGCTTGGGGGCGGTGTCTCCCAGTGCGAGAGGGCGCCAGTTTTCTAAAGAGTCACGATCCCCTTTCTTATACACTAATACGGTGTTGGAGGTCTTCCAGGACGCGGGGACTGCCTCACGCCGATAGCACGCGTTAAACAGCGCAGTGAGGAGCCGCGCCCCAGGATCCGCTCCACGGAGGTCACGGTACGTGATACCGTCGGGACCCGGCGCAGAATTCGTCATACGCCGGAGCCGACGGTCCACTTCTCGCTCCGTGAAGGGATCCATGAGGTACGCGTACTCCCCCCATCGACCGAGGGGTCAGTGGGCTCAGCCGCGCCGGAACCGTCCAGGTCCTCCCCTCCGCGATACAGCCGCTCGAAGTACGCATGAACCCGATCCTTCGGCACTTGGCAGAATTCTACGGGCCCCTGCAATACTTCCCTGACCGCCTTGCGTCGGTTCGTCCTGTACAGTGCCTGCAAGCGCGTAGCCTCGCGCACCCAGCCGCCGCGTCCTTCTCCCGACTGCGGAGGGCCAGCCGGTGCCGACCCTCTTTCCCCCCTTACACCGCCACCGTCTCCCACCGACACCCCTCCCTCGCCGCGCCGCTCTCCCGCCTCACGCGACCGAACTGGACGGTCGCGGACGCCGGATGCACCCCCATCAACCCTCCCCGATGCCTCCTCCCCGAAGAAAGCCGCGACCGAGGCCGCAAACTCCTCCAGGTCCGCAATCGAGGTGACGGCCTCGGCACGCCCAACCAGCACATCGCGCGCGGCCACTCGCCGCCGTCTGCGGAGTCCTGCGACTGCCGCAGGGGCAGACCGGCCACCGTATGGCTGGGTAGACGGGCCGGCGACACGCCGCAGGCCTCGGGGGTGCCTCCCGCCTCCGCTGCTCCTCGGACCCACCGGTGTCTCTCTGCTAGCTCCGACGCAGCCGGTTGCGTGTCCTCTCCGCCGACGACCCATCACCCCAGGGACACCCACCGGAGCACTCGGATGACCGACGCCTCCTGGTCCTCCAGGTCGTCCAGCACGCACTCCCGATGCTCCCTCCACGCTGGTCCCCTGAGGTGGGACCCCCGCCTCATCCCCTGAAACAGCGCGGACCAAAGTCCGCTGAACCTGGACCGTGCACGGTCTCATCAATGATTTTAAGCTCGCCGGCGCTTGCAACGGGGGAAGGCCGGGCACCGGGCCCCGCCCCGCGGCCACCGGACTCCCGCCGCCGGGGGAGCCACCGCTCAGCCGCCGCCTCGCCCTTCTCCCCAGGCGCACTCTCCACGGCTCATCCTCCTCTCCACTGTCCCCCTCGCCCTCCGTACTCCCCTGCGCCACCTCCTCCGGATGCCGCCGCTCCTCTTCCCTGGGTGGTGTTAAGGGCCTCTCCTCCTCTCGACGCATCCGCCGTCCGACCAGACACGGCGACACCTCCGTGATGGAGGGGAGGTGGGGGGAACGAGGCAGTGTGCCCCGCCTCCCCGCGGGGAACCCCGTGGACATCACGGGGGACCCGCATGAAACTATCGTCACCGTGCTGGTCGTAAGTGCGGCAGGCGCTGACGACACCGCGGGCATCGCCGGCGGTGATAGTGGCGACCTCTGGCCCCCCACTGGGCCGCCGCGGATGGACTGCGGCGGGGTGGGGGCAGGTCTTGCGGGGGGCATGGTCCCACGTTGCAGGGGGGGCATCCTCGCCGTCCCCTGGGCCCCCTCTCCTTCTGTCGCCCGCGGTGTCAGCGCGGCGCTCAAGTCGCGCACCGCGGTGCCGGCTCTTCGGGTGGTGGATGCCGGCTGGGCCCCTGGGCTTCTCCTCTTCTTTTCCAATGCTCTTCGGGGCCCCCGCGATGCGCTATTGGCCGATGGTCTGGCCTGTGCCCTCGCCTCCGTTGCGCACTTCGCGGCCGATGCGCTCGCCCGAGTCCTGGTGCGAGGCCCCGCCCGGATGATGTTTGGCGGGGTCCTCTCGGGCGACCTTCTCCTCTCGCCCCCCTCCCGCCGAACGTAGGTGTATCGTCGGCGGACTCCGGTGATGGGAGGGGGGGCCTGCGCGTCGACCTGGTCGCGCCGCTCTTCTCGAGAGGCACGCCGCTGGACCTCCGTATCCTCGGATCATACCTGGACCTCGCCGAGCTGATGATGGTTGGCGAGGTCACGGAGGTCCTCCTCAATGGTCCATTCGCCTCGCCGGATGGTCTGCGAGGCGATCCGCGTGCCTCTCTTGACGCGAGAGGCGAGCTCTTCCTATTGGCTGCGCCGCGCTTCAATGGAAGCCTGCCTTTACGTTGCGGATGCGCCTTAAGGCCCGTAGTTGCGGCGGCCGGCGCGCCGGCCGTGGCGCCATCCAAGATGGCGGCCGTGCCACCTGTCACCGCTGCTGTTGTTGTTGCTGTTGTGGCCGCCGACGACGATGTTCCGCACGTCGACGGCCCCGGTGCTGCGGTGACGGCCGCGTACGAGGGGGATGTCCTCGCCGGTGGTGTGGCGGGTGTGGATGCTGTTGTTGTTGCAGGTGGTGTTGCTGCTGTTGTTCCTGGCGCCGGAGCCGTGGAGCGCAACCCGGGTTGCCGCGAGTCGGACGGGCGACCTCGCGATGACGCCCCGGCGGACGCCGACGACCCCGGGGCGGAACCCGCCGCCGGCCGGCCCCGCGCATTCGCGGAGGACCCATCATAATTGACATTATTATTGGAGTTATTTGCTCCGTCCGTGCTGCGACCCGCTCGGCCCCGGGGAGTCGCGTGTTCTTTCTTAAAATGAGCCTTTACTGGCCTCACGGGGTAGGCCCGTATCCACGAAAATCGCACTCCGCGCATTCATAAGTAATTGTATCCCCGGGGTGTTTCGCTTTTAGGTGCTTCGCCAAATGGAGCGGATCGCAGAATTCGCCCCGTGACCTCACCTCCGGGTCCTCCCTCCGCCAACAGCGGGGGCAGTATACCCTCGCCGGGAACGGGTAGGGGAGGACCACCACTTGTGGAGACGCAGACATATTATGACTTACTTTTAGTCAGTTTAACGGCCAAATGCCATTAAATAATTAATAAAAGAGTGCGTGGGTCGCGCGGACAGCGCGCGCAGGGCGAGGGGGCAGCCCGCAGCGGGCGGACCCGCGAGCAGTGGGTCTCGGGATGAACCCGGGGCACACCGCCGTCACGCACTGCACCCTCACGCCGCGCACTCACCGCGGCACCACGCACTACGCATAACTAGCTGTCACGGGACGACAACAACGCACGCACTTAACCTCACTAATCACGGACGGAGCACTCCTCAAAAGAAAAAACGCGGCACCAGACACTTACAGACGCAGACACATCGCCTCGGCACACAAACTCCCGGACACACACTCTCGAACAATTAGTTAAATAATAATAATAACAATAAAAATAAAAATATTGGACGCCTAACGTCTAACACGTGGACGCGACCACGTGCGCCGAGGCGAGCCTTATTTTGAGTATGAGAAATTGTGTGGAATATTACAATTTGATCTTAGCTACAGTGCAGAAATGTATTTTTTAATATTTATTGCGTTTTTACTGAAATATTCCGAATTTTGTTAATCGAAATGATTAACTTTTGGCAGAGAATTTTGCCTTGTGAAATACATGACTAACTTCATTGAATTATATTTAATATCTTTTTATCAGTTAGTACTTGTATAATATTATTTGACCAAATATTTTCTCTGTATCTGAACTTTTGCAAATTTTAAACAAATTCTGAATATTATTTCCATGTATTTTGTCATTTGAATCGACGTGGTTATGTATTTCCCATAAGAACATATGTTCGGAGCAAATTAAAATCCTTATAACTTGTGAACGCTTTAGTGAATCGATTTAAAAATTGTATAGAAGATTCTAAACATGTGTAAGGACATTCTGTACAATTTTTATTAAATTCTCAATATTTGAAAATAAGTACAAAACATCCTTAATCAAAATGATTAACTTTTGGCAGAGAATTTTGCCTTGTGACAAATACATGGCTAACTTCATTGAATTATATTTAATATCTTTTTACCAGTTAGTACTTGTATAATATTATTTGACCAAATATTTCCTCTGTATCTAAACTTTTGCAAATTTAAGCAAATTCTGAATATTATTTCCACGTGTTTTTGTCATTTGAATCGACGTGGTTACGTTTCCCATAATAACACATGTTAATTCGGTGCAAATTAAAATCCTTAACTTGTAAACGCTTTAGTGAATCGATTTAAAAATTGTACTGAAGATTCTAAACATATGCAAGGACATTCTGTACAATTTTCATTAAATTCTCAATATTTTGAAAATAGGTACAAAGCATCCTTAATCGAAATTTCGCGCAAAGTAAAGCTACGATGTATATACTTGCTTTCTGCTAATTCGGAGACATTCAATAAAACACGAGCGCACGCGAGAAGATCGATATCTCAGGAGAGAATGCATCTGCCTTCGGGATAAACGAGGGCGCGGCGGATGTCCTATCTGTTAAACGTCTTTTCTCTTCTTGCCGACGTATATACTCCTTCGCGTCTTTAATCTTAATCCTTCCGTGGCGCAAACAGGGGTAAGAGACGCTTATACATCCTGTTAAACCGCATTCAGGCGTCGGCGGTTAAGGCGGACGGAATTATTGCGCGAATTAGAGCTCCCCGCTCACCCTAACTTCTTCCGGCGCCCCACGTTCGTCGTCGTCCCGAAGGAAGGAAGGAAGGAACTTGCAGGCGAGGATAATAATGTTAATGTAACGTGCAGGAGGTGAGATACGTGGAATTAATACGTATCACACTTTTATCAATGTACTTAGGTTTCGTCCCGGGAGAGAGAGACTAACGCGTAATTTACCTTTTACGACGTTAAAAGCAACGCGAAATACAACACACGAGAACCGTGTAAAGGGAGACGGAATAACAATAATGTCGCTGCAATATGTCGCATAATTCGACGACAAAGCCCGTTTCCTCATTCGCGATACACGCGCGCGTGATTTTCGTATTACTTTTTACCTTTAATTTATGCACATTGTCTCTTTCGCGTCGAACGTATATATTTTACGCGAGTCGTTGAAACGAAACTCTTTGTCCCTTCGTCGCGTGCTTGTTGCAAATGTACGAAAATCATTCCCTTTTCCGAGGGATAAATCTGGCGCGGAAATTCGGCTCTTTTTTCGCCATCGATATAAAATAGTACAAACCGGACGCGTTATCTCGCGACCTCAAGGAACAGAAAGATAAATCAGAGCGAGCGGTCCGCTCGTATGTAATTTCGTTCGAAACGCGGTGTATCATCCCGTGGTCCTCGGGGTTAATATCGCCGTCCTTCTACGCCCGGACCCCCGGAGGAATTTCATGGGGCGCGCGAATGTCGCGCGCCATCGAGCACGAAGCAGTAACGGAGACGCTCGGGACCCGAGAAAATGGCGACGTATTAGGAAAGATGGACGCCCTCGAGGTCCGGAAGAGTCGCGATTCGTCTAACGGCGACGTATAGGGTCGTAACCGGCGTACATAGTACCGGCTCTCGTGTAGATATAAATCAAAATTGGCAGGTTTGGAATTGCGACGCGTCCGCAAAGAGAAGGGAAGCGAACGGGAAGGAGAAAGGGAGCGGGAGGAAGAGAGGGAAGATTGACGCGGGAAGAAGAACAAGGAACGGGCGATGGTAAGCAGTAAATCTCGAGAGGATCGTCGAACGGCGCGAGAAAAGAGTGTCGAGGGAAGACGGCGATGAAGAAAGTGAGGAAGGGGAGAGAGGAGGGGGAGGATGCGGAGGGCGGAATGCCACGGTAAGTGCGGCACGTTGCGACTAAACCGAGAAATCGACGAGAGATCGGGGGAGAGAGGGGGAGGATTTAAGCGGAGGAGGATGATGGCGCGCGATGGTGGTGGTTTAAGTCGTATAACGTCTGAGGAAGATTTAGCGTCATCGCTCGTCCTACATGTTTAATGCCGGGGTGTTTTACGCTCCCCTCGGCACGTCGCCGCTTAGCCGCTCATTTCCAATCCGGACGCAGATTGCGGAGAGAGAAAGAGAGAGAGAGAGATGGGGAAAGGGTGAAGCGGGGAGAAGCGGGAAAGCGCCATGTAAACGCAACTTTTATGCGTATGTAAACGCGCGGGGCGAAATCTCTCCGAGCTGGTTACAAATTTACGACGAAAGCAGAAACTTTTGCCTCTCGCATTGTTCTCCATTTCGCCGTTATTATTACTTTATCATGCCCCCGCTCTATACTCGGCGCGATGCATTAGATAATTGGTTTTAAACTTCCGTTGGATACTTCCGTTAATTACATTTCTTCATCTCGTTACATTGTTTTGTAAACTTTTTTTACAAATATGAAAGGATGCCGCCGCTGTCGCGATTCATTTATATTATAACATTTACATTTCTTTTTTTTTTTATTATTTTAGATACCCTGTAATATGTCTCGGTAACAATGTTGTTTACGACATATTTCGATGGCGATTAATGTTGACAATAATAGATGCAAAGTACCATCATACGATTTCTCAGTAATTGAGTAATTTATTTAATAATTTTATTACTGAGCAGAAATATATTTGTATATTGTTGCTTATTTATACATTTAATCAGTTCATAGAGAGTTCATTCGAGAATTTCAAATTACAAATTCTTTCTTGAAATTAATTTAAATTAATCTAGAGTGCAATAATTTTTCTCAATATTACATTATTCTACAATTTCTAAATTTCTTTTTCGTTTTTCTTTTCCTATCATACTTTATAATTCTGTACTATCCACTATCGGTGGCTGCATTCTTTGAGGAACAATTCTTAAAATTGTTACGTTTTCAAAGAGGATTTTATCAACAAGACGCTATCTCAATTATATTTTTTTCATATACATTTAAATGTCGATTAATATTTGCAATGATAATTCCACAACTCGCGGCGTGTTTATACGTGGAGAANCTTTCTCCCAAATAATAAAGGCTCGATTGCGCATCGGATAATCCGATTTGAGCCTATCCTGTTTCGGCACGTAAAATCGCGTGATATTTCTAGTTTCGGATTGGCCAGGATCATGTATTCTTACGCGATCACGCGGATCCTGACTGATTTCGAAAAAAGACGGCCCGGCATTATATATTTGCGAGTTCGATTTGGCACGCACGGATGGCGCCAGTATGACAGGGTTCAAATTTTTACTCTAATTTTAGGGCGAATCCTGAACATTAGTACTAAGAAAATATTATTAAAATGATATTAAAATAATATTAAAATAATATTAATTAGCGAATAAATGTTAACTCGTATCGCACTTCCTCCAAGGAGCAATCGAGCATTTATCGCACCTCATTATACATATTACTTCGTTATATTTCCGCGTTCCGTTATTTTTTCATGCCGCATTAGTTTATCGCGTTAGCTTTCGGAATTCCACTCGACGATAGTAATGTCGCAGATATAAATTAACGTCGAGGGACTGTTTTTTCCTCATAACAAGTTTCGCGATCGCGCTAATAAGTGCGCTCGGTATTCTCAGTGCTTTCGGTATTCTTAGGGTTCTCAGTATTCTCAGGATTCTTAGTGTTATTTTTGCGCGAACGATGGATGACGATGTTTCAAGGTTGCGAAGAATGCTCGATAGATGTATGTTCACGATGTGGATAAACGCTTGGAAAATAAAATACATCAAGAATTTCATGGACGCGATACTCAACATAGCGGTGACGTGGAACGTGAGTACCCTTTTATTATCGTTCTTTATTCTTCGCTCTCATTAGAAGAAACATACGACAGTCGTTGATCGCGCGACATTTTTTACAGTTCGAGGAGGAGCTCGAGATAAAAGGATTCGTA